AGATTAAACAGCGCCAAAACGGCATTTATTGTTTGAATACTGCAATACAATGGACAGAATTTGAAATCTGAGACTTTGTTTCATATTAAAAGTACCAAAGCACAATGCTTATTGCGATATTTTGGATGGGAAGTGCCCTTCAACGTTCCGTCCATTAACTGAAAACAGGCTAGACTAATCGATTCTTGGGATTTAAGAATCGATATTGTTCCGTAAAAATGATAATCGATTAATATCGAGATATCGATATTTTTTACCCAGCCCTACTAATTACCTGAACTTTCCAGTGCTTTTTTTTTTTAAAGCAGGACTTCAGTACATCTTCATATGTCATTTCATTATTACTCCTATTGTTTTTTTTAAATATGGTTAAAGTGTACTGCTGAATTTACTGACCAGCTTTTATGATAACCTAAAATATAATGTCATTTCTCTTGACACTTTTCATGTATGTCATTTATTTAAATGTATTAGTAATTACACATTTATAATGATGACGTTACAATTTTGTATATTTATAATAGTGTATATTATTATAAACTTTAATATATGAACTTTCGATGTAATTGCTAATAACACACTAAAATAAGAATGATAATAACCAAGTACTTTACATGTGCTGTACTGTGTTAGTCAAAATCAGTGCACTTCTTTAAAGCACAACAAAAGATTATTAAAACATGTAAATGTAAAACTTCAATAATGCTTATCAGTACTGTACATACCGATAATCTCACCAAATATTAGCCAGCTAATCAACCTATCTGATATAGATCACTAATAATAATAACAACGTCATTAAACAGATAAGTACAATTCACAGTTTTCAGTCTCGTGACCGGCTGGAAGATCTGGCGGGCAAAGCATCCATAGAACTGCAGCACAAGCCCGTCAGTTTTACATCTGTTCCAATCCAAAAATATTTAGATCACCTCTCTCAAAAAAAAAAAAAAGAAGCAAGTTTTGGCCATTATCAATCCATATAAAGCACCCGCCGCAATATTTCAATCAGTAAAAACAGCGGGACATTCTAAAATGTTTAATGTGAAAACACTTAAAGTGGCTTTAAAACAGTGATATTAAAGGGATAGTTCACCCAAAAATTAAAATTTGATGTTTATCTGCTTACCCCCAGGCCATCCAAGATGTAGGCGACTTTGTTTCTTCAGTAGAACAACTGATAGACTGCAACGGTTTGAGTTAAAAATCTTCGTTTGTGTTCTACTGAAGAAACAAAGTCGCCTACATCTTGGATGCCCTGGGGGTAAGCAGATAAACTTAAATTTTTCATTTTTGGGTGAACTATCCCTTTAAAGATCAAATTCAGTACACATCTTTTTGATGATGCATGCTTTAAGTTTATACAGAAAAGCAGATGGGCTCGGAACATGAACGCAATGCGCTAAACGGTTAAGTGTTTTCTTTAAAACGGTTTTCTATGGGAAAACATTTAATGTGAAACTTTGCACATTGCGTTTATATTCTGGGTTCATCTGCTTGCCTGTGCAAAGTCTGCATCATCAAGGTGAATTTGGCCTTTAAATATCACCGTCTTACTACATTACTACTTAATGCAAACCTCATAAAAATAACTGGCGGTCAGTGGAGGAAAGCCTTGTTTTGCCCTCCATGTGGGCGTTCCTGTAAGGGTGTGATGTCACGTGAAAACTATGAAGAGTTTGCTGTGGTGATTTTTCAGTCCTGTTGATCGGACACTGACCAGAATCAGAACAGTCCGAGAGTACGTGTATGTTGTTAAAAACGCGGAACATCATTTTATTCCACACAACAGTCAAGCATTACCGTTAAGTCTATTATCCACCAAGATGCAGATTCGCCACGTGACAATTCTTACGCAAATGAGATTGAGGGAGACGTTAAGTTTGTTTTGATTTATTAATTTACTTACAATAACAATTTAAAATGTATTAACTTTTACGTATTCACTTTTACATGTATTATTAACTGCATTATATGCATTTTTACTTCATATAAATAAATATAAATAAATATTAATACAATTCTTAAATCGCTATGGGGGAGCCAGGCCCCCCTGGCCCCCCCACAAGCTACGCCCATGGTTTTAGCTGGTCGTCCAGCCTGGTTATAGCTGGTTTAAGAGGGGTTTTGGCCACTTCTACTTCCAGCTTAAACCAGCTTAAACCAGCTAAGACCAGCCAACCAGTTTAGGCTGGTTTTAGCCGTTTTTTTTTTTTCGTTTGTTTCTTTTTCAGCAGGGAGGGTTACAAACCACAAATCAAACTACATTTAAAGAAATAATAAATAACAGCTCACATTAAAAATGTGGCTAAATTAATTTAATTAAATCGAACGTTTAATGGAAGAACCCCTTCTTTTTGTTGTTTATGTAATGTACGTGTAAAACGAAGTAAAAACGATCGTGTCACTGTTACTTATTTAATATTCATAAACTAATCTTTCACCGCATTCATTAATTCGCCAGTTGACGAGCTCCCGCCTACCAGTATTTACCTTGTAGCCAATCAGAATGCGCTATCAGGTGAACGTCTACTTACGTAATTATTATTCACAAGCCAAGCTTTCATCGTATTAGTAATAGCAGTAATGGTTTGCAACAGTGTGAAGGTAGGAGTTGCATCCCAGTTTTGCACGTCGCACGTATGAATTTATAGGCATGCAATGTTTATCCTCGGCATTTCTGTGACTCGAGCGGCTAGAAGGTATTGTGGTTTCTGTTATTTAACTCACTTTATGCGCTTTGACTGGGTTGCCATTACTATTTACTATGAACCGAATGCATGAATGCGACTGGGCTCATTTAAACAAACCATACATTCTCTGACTTACTCTGTCATTCCTTACAAAGCTTTAGTATGAGAGGATATCTGGTTTTAGTCAGGTTATCTTCTGAAAACCAGGCAATGCAACTGGTTTCACTGTTCTGTGCTCTGTTTCAGCTTCACGGCATGTGTTGGACTTTCCTCAGTATGTTTCTCCATGTAAAGAGGTGAGATTGGCGAGCACCGAGGCTGATAAGCGCCTGTCGGGTTTTGATGTGGAAGTGAGCATGAGGGCCGATGTGTTTCAGAGACTTATAGCCCTGCAGGTACCACAACTACAGTATAATATTCTGAATAATTCTGCTACTGTGCACTCATCCATTTTAATTTTTTTTTCATTTTCTTCTATTTATTGTTTTCTGTATTATCCTTCTATATTATTTTATTGTATTCTATTTTACTCATAGCACAGTGCAAAGAGTACAGGACATGAGCTGAATGTCATCCATTTGATTGACACTGCTAAACGTGTCTGAGTGTGTGTGCACTAACCTCTAGCCTTGTGTTCTTCTCTACTATTTAGTATGCAAAGAGCAGTATGTCAAATGAGCAGGATGTCAAAATGTGCAGTATTCATGCAACAGTATGCAAACGGCCCCAGGATGATTCTTTATGGGATAGCCTAGTTCATCCAAAAATGAAAATTCTTTCATCATTTACACACCCTCATGTCAAACCTATAAGACTTTTGTACACAATTGAAGATATTTTTTTGAAACCTGAGAGATTTCTGTCTGTCAGTTGAAAGTCCATTCTATTAAAATTTTCAAACTTCAAAAACTTCATAAAGAAACCGTAAAAAATACGGTTAAAGGCAGCTTAAACCCGACATACTGTAATGAGACTTAGACAAACCTCATTGTTTCTTGTGTGTTAAGCACGCTATGCATGTGCGTTGATCAGTGTTTATAACATAATATAATATAAACATATAAACTTTATATTTGAATAAAAGCCTAAATTATATCTGTTCTTCAGATACAGCTATTGTTTTTTTTAGTAGACCTGCCCTTCGTCCAAGTATGCATACTTTTTGCTATATAGTTGATGAAAAACAGTATGTGATAATGTTAGACAAGTAATAAATCTGAATTCATAGTATTCATAAAATAGCAGGCGAAAAGTAACCAGATGACAGCATGGCGGATGTAGAATGTCCATATGTTATTCATACTAACCATATTCATAATATATAGGACATACTTTTTTAATGGTCACAAAGTAAGTTTCAAACCAAATGTAGTGCCTTCTAGACAGTATGTGATTTTGGTCACAGCTTTGGATTGAATTATTTAATTCATATGGACTTTTTGAAGCGTCAAAGATTTGGTGTAAAAGACTTTCAATGGAGTGACAGAAATCTCTCAGGTTTAATTAAAAATATCTTCATTTGAGTTTTGAAGATGAACAAAATAATTCTGCCACCGTGCACTTATATTTATTTTTTATATTTGTTTATTTATAAACTTAGTCCATAAATTACTCACCCCCGAGGCATCCTAGGTGTATATGACTTTCTTCTTTCAGATGAATCCAGTCGGAGTTATATTAAAAATGGTCTTTGATCTTTCCTGGAGCTGCTTCCATGTACAACAGTGAGCACAAGCTAGAGTAAATTGATTATTACGTTTTAAATATGGTTATTTTTCTTACAAAAACGCATCGATTCGCTACAGAAGGCCTTTGTTCACCCCCCCGGAGCCGTGTGAGACACTTTTTTTTATTTTTTATGGATGGGCGCTTTTTATTTAACTTCTTTTGGACTGATGCATGCAACACCCGCTGAGTGGCATTAAACAGCTTGAAAGATCAAAGACCATTTTTAATATAACTCCGACTGGATTGATCTGAAAGAAGAAAGTCATATACACCTAGGATGCCTCAGGGGTGAGTAATTTATGGACTAAGTTTCATTTTTGGGTGAACTAACCCTTTAAGGTTCAAATGGTCGTCACCGATAGCCTCGTGGGCAGCGCGTCGACATGTAGCGCCATTGCGCTTCGGGCGTCCCGTGTTCGAGTCCCGGCTCGCGGACCTTTCCCGATCCCATCCCCCCTCTCTCTCCCACTTCGCTTCCTGTCTCACTACTATCCTATCAATAAAAGGCAAAAACGCCAAAAATAAATCTTAAAAAAAAAAGGTTCAAATGTATTTTAATTTATTTAGGCTCAAGTTTCAAGTAGCATCTATAACAATGTGCGATATCGGATGCAGCTTTGGTTTAAACCGCTTGATTCAAATGGATTACTTTTACAATATCTTTATAACTCCATGAAGTGTGAGAGTTGTGGTGTAATACACCTTAAATAGAGCACAGGAATCTCTCAGGTTTCATTAAAAATATCTTCATTTGTATTTCAAAGATGAACTAATGTTATGGGTTTGGAACAAAATTTGTATTTTTCCATCTCATTCCATTTTCAAAGTTAATTTAAACCAGTATTTTTAACCCTATTAATTAATATTGTTACCACCTGCTTATTACATGCTTATTGTCTTGAATGAATGTACATGTGTTGTCGTTTTATGATTGGAGGTCATATTAAGTCATTAATATCTGTCAGCACTCATCAATGGAGAGCCTAATCTCTGGGTACTAAAAAGTCATTTGGCGAGTTGGCGACAGGTCCAGTTTCATAGAGGTGCCCCATAAAATGAGGCATTTGGCAGTGTTGGCCGAGCCCATTGAGGCTTTATCCAAAGCCGTTTCATATTGCTGATTCACAAATTGAAATGATCATTTCAGTGGAAGTCTGTCTCTGGAGTGAGCAGGAGACTATTTTCAGGCTGTCCTCTCTCCAGGGCTGTTGAGCTGTAATGAAATGATCACACCATTTCTTCTGAAGGCCAGTATGGAGGCCTCACTGTCCTCGTTGTGACCCTGTGGAAGTCTCCATTCACAGGAAAGCGTGTGTGGGGCCCATGTACTGTAGGTTTGGCCCATTGTCAGAACCGCAGCAGTAAACATAACTACAGGCATTCACAGCATGAGGCTCAGCATTTCCCACTTTATCTTTACAGGAAAAACAATCTGGTGATTTATTGCCTGAGTCGGAGAGATTCCTGGGACGACTCATAAAATTAGGGAAACGGAATGGATTGCACTTGTCCAAGGATATACAAGAAGTAGGTTTGTTTTGCTTGTTTACTACAAACTTGTATGTGCGGATGAATTCACATATGATTCTTTTAAGTAGAGTGTCTCTATTTCTATTGCTCATACTTTAAGTAAGTGATTTGAACAAACTCTTTGGTGTGTAACTCGGCCTCATTATGGAAATTAACAGCCAAGCATCTGCTTCTAAAATCCTAGCAAGTGTTTTATTTTAATTTTTTATTATTTATTTATTTATTAACCCAGAAAACAGGGTTTATTATTGCAAAAAGAAACTTGGCACTGAAAAAATCTATGTTTAGAAATGATATGATAATATATTTTTTAGTGCTGTCAAACGATTAATCGCGATTAATCGCATCCAAAATAAAAGTTTTTGTTTACATAATATATGTGCATGTACTGTGTATATTTATTATGTATATATAAATACACATGCATACACCTATATATTTAGAAGAAAATTACATAATTTACATATTTATATTCATATAATTTATATTATATATAAATATATTTCATATACAAACGTAACATATTTTTCTTAAAAATATGCATGCATGTGTGTGTATTTATATATACATAATAAATATGCACAGTACACGCACATATATTATGTAAACAAAAACTTATTTTGGATGCGATTAATCGTATGACAGCACTAATTTTTAAAAATAATTCTAATAATAAATGTACATTTAAAATCATGTATAAAATATTTGTTTATACATATAAACAACTTCATTTTAAGTAATAATATTAAAATGATAAATGTAAATCTAAATTATTACATTTAAATTAATTTAAAAAGAAAGCAATTTTTACTTTGCAGGGTTCTCTGGGTCTTAAAAAGTCATCATTTTCCCTTCCTCAAACTAAAAATGTCTTAAATCGAAGCAGAAAGTCTTAAATTCATAAAGTCGTGGCATTAAATGTTGCATGTACTGCAAATAATGAATATCCTCCTCAGTATTTTTGTTTTCCAATGCAAATATCTACACATCCTTAAATCAAGATACAACTGAACATATGAAGTCTTGTTTTATGAGAAATTAAACAAAATTAAGTGTGTTTATGCTTTAAACAAGAACAATCATCGGTCAGTGGGGTATGAAAATGGTTTCCCCTTTGAATTAAGATTTTTCTGACCCCATTGGCAGATATTTGTTCTTGTTTTAATCATAAACTCACTACATTTTGATCTATTTCTCAGAAAACAAGACTTCTTATCTTATGTCGCCTTGCTTCTCGTGGCCTGACTGGGCAAGCAGAAAAATCCTTACTGTCCTTGAAATTCTACAGATCTAGTTCTTGATTATTTTTATTGGTCTTTCAATGTTTAGTCTTTTTCACTCAGGAAATCAAGTCAATCTCCAAGCAAATTAGTGAACTCTCCATTGACTTCAACCAAAATTTGAATGAGGAAAATACAGTACTGTTGTTCTCGCAAGAAGATCTCGGTAAGCATGGTTTTCATTAATATAACAGCTCTTGTAGAGAATTCATCTCAGACACAATTTTCCTCCATCCCTTCTCAAGTGGGTCTTGCAGAAAGCTACATGAATGGTCTTGAGAAAGCAGAAGATGGGTGGTATAAAGTCACCCTTGCGTATCCGCACTACTTCCCCCTGATGAAAAGATGTCATGTTCCCGAAACCAGGAGGAAGATGGAGATGGCCTTTCACAGCAGGTGCAAAGATGTAGGTTCAACTCGTGCATTTATAACGAGACTTTGAATCCTATGATTCCTAAAAGTCCTATAATGAATCCTAAAAGTCATGTTCTGGTTGCACTATTAAAGGGTTAGTTCACCCAAAAATGAAAATTCTGTCATTACTTACTCACCCTCGTGTTGTTCGAAACCCGTAAGACCTTCGTTCATCTTCGGAACACAATTTAAGATATTTTTGATGAAATCTGAGGGCTCTCTGACCCTCCCATAGACAGCAAGGTAACTACCACGTTCAAGGTCCAGAAAAGTACCAAGATGATCGACAAAGTAGTCCGTGTGACATCAGTGGTTCAACTGTAAAGTTACGAAGCTACGAGAATACTTTTTTTGCGCAAAGAAAACAAAAATAACGACTTTATTCCACATTTTCGTCTCTACTGTGTGACTTGTGGACGTGCATTCACGACAGTATCATGACGCGAGCGTGTGGCGGCGCTGACCCAGATCCGGCGTGATGACGTAAAAAAGTCTTTATTTTTGTTTTCTTCGCACAAAAAAGTATTCTCGTAGCTTCGTAACTTTGTCACATGGACTACTTTGTCGATCATCTTGGTACGTTTCTGGACCTTGAACGTGGTAGTTACCTTGCTGTCTATGGGAGGGTCAGAGAGCTCTCATATTTCATCAAAAATATCTTAATTTGTGTTCCGAAGATGAACGAAGGCCTTACGGGTTTGGAACAACACGAGGGTGAGTAATTAATGACAGAATTTTCATTTTTGGGTGAATTAACCCTTTAACGTTTGCTCGATGTTTCCAGGTGAACACTGCTATTCTTGAACAGCTGATTGAGTTGCGGGCAAGGCTAGCCAAACTACTGGGCTTCAGCAGTCATGCTAATTACGTGCTGGAAATGACCGTGGCCAAAAACTCTGAGAATGTGGCTCGATTTCTTGGTATGTCTCTTCTCTTTTTGTTGGGTTCTTCCTGTTGCGGATCAGCGCTTTCATTCAGGCACGCACAGGTTAAGTCTGGAGTGACGGGCCGTTTGGTGACCCTTGTCATCATGTTCTGTTGTTAAAGTGACATGACAAATGTATGATTTATCATCTGTCTGAGACTCGCCTCATGGATATTGGTTGTGTTTTGCTGTAGATTATGACTCTTTTATATTGTAGTTTAGACTCTTTATTTTTATTTTTAGAACCATATTACAGGCCGGTTTACTTATGTTGATGTAATACAAATTATATGTATTAATAGACAAATATATAAGCTTCGGCAAACTGGTAGTTTCCTTTATTTTAAAATCTTCCAAAAGATTATTTTGGATTTGCTTAGTGAGTTCTGAATAAAACTTGGTATATGATATATATTTGTTTGATTTTAGCAGTTTTGTAGATATTAGGATCAGCATCTGACTCGATAAACCATATTGGTCCATCAAAACACAAATTTACTGAAATCATGTAAACATTATGTACTCAAAAATATCTGAAAACAGCTCTGATCACATCATAGCACCTGATCACCAAGTCTCTGCGCACGTGAAGATACATTAAAATTCTGACATTTAATGTTTTAATAACATTGTAGGAGATATAAGTAAGATTCTAAGATTTAATTTTTAATGTATGAAAAACATCTCTTGTTTATTTAATCAAAACTGCAGCGAAAACATAAAAATTGTGACATATTATTACATTTTAAAGGGGTCATATGACGTTGCTAAAAAGAACATTATGTTGTGTATTTGGTGTAATGAAATGTGTTTTCGCATCACTGTTGTTTTCATACTGCGTGACTATCTGGGGTAGCATTCAGTTGTTGCTGTGTTCACACTGCACGATGGAACGACGACAGGAGGTTACACACTGCATGACTTTACAATAGGAAGAATCGCTGACAGCTCTGTCTGGTGCAGGGTTGCCAGGTTTTAGCTACAAAACCCGCCCAATTACTACTCAAAACTAGCCTGAAAATAGCCCAATTGCTTTCGAGGGGGTCCGTTTGTTCAAAATACAAATTTTTTTGCGGGGTTCTCCTGGTACAATTCACATTCCAGGGGCTAAATATCACGTTATTGTGGTCGCTTCAACCTGCTGACATAAAAAACAACCGGCGGCAATAGCGGATTTGGCAACACTGGTCCGCAAACTACGTTTCATATAACTCCTCCCCGAACTTCCCCCTGCCCTGTATCTTGGTCTCTCATTGGCTGTTGGTCATCGCTGATGTAGTTTTCAGTCAGAACTCATTTCACACAGCGTGATTGTGAATCGCCGACAGCTCCAGATATTTAGCATGCCAAATATTTCACGGGCGTCGGCGACGCATCGGCGATTCCCTCAGATCGCGTCTTTGATAATTTTTTTTTCTGAAAACAAGACAATTTTTACTTGTCTAGAAAATCCTTCTTGATTTAAGAATTTTTAGATATTTTGGCTGGAAACAAGACAAAAAAATCTAAGATAGAAAAGCATTTTTTGCAGTGAAAAGAGGACGATATCGCTTCGTCATCAGGAAACACGTTGTTCTGGAATGATTTGAAGAGCATGAGTTTGAGGTCTTGCCCAGATTCCCCTGATCTCAATGCCATCAGGCATTTGTGGGATGCTCTTCTGGTACAAAAGGTCCATCTGTGGTCACTTCACCTCACAACGTGCAGGACTTTAAGTATCTGCTGCTAATGTTTTGGTGCCAGATACCTCAGGGCATCTGTTATAGAGGCTTGATTCGGTGGGTCATTGCTGTTTTGGCAGCAACAACATACTAGGCTGATGATACACGGGGCAACTTTTTGAGCAATTTTGCCGGGCAACTTTTTTTGAGCAATGTTGCTTGGGCACTTTCCCATTGAGAATGGGCAATAAATTTCTATCTGGATATTTTAGATCGGTCGTGGGCCCTGTGTCTCACTTGGTTGCCCGCTGAGGTCAGCATTTCCCAAAATTGCCATTGCTCAAAAAGTTGTCCGGCAAAATTGCTCCAAAAAGTTGCCCAGTGTATCATCAGCCTTAGGCAGGTGCTCATGGTATTTTAGCTCTTTTGTTGCAGTTTCTACATGAATATACATGTCTACATGACCGTTATATAACCGAAATGTTTTCACGCTCAATAGATGAGTTGTATAAGAGGTTGAGACCAGTTGGCGAGCAGGAGCGGCATTACCTGCTGTCACTCAAACATGCTGACTGTGAGAGGCGGGGCTTGGCGTTTGACGGACAGCTCCACGCGTGGGACATGCCCTACTACATGAACCAGGTGGAACAAGTGAAGTTTGCGGTGGATAAGGACAAACTGATCGAGTACTTCCCTCTGGAGGTGGTGACCGAGGGCCTGCTGAACATCTATCAGGATCTGTTGGGTCTGAGGTTCCAGCGGGTGGAGGACGCTCTTGTGTGGCACGACAGCGTCAAACTCTACTCCGTACTGGACTCTGTGACTGGAGAGGAGATCGGACAGTTTTACTTGGACTTGCATCCCAGGTAAGCCATTCAAGATGAAAAGTCTTTCTTTCTGCTCTGAAATGGCCAGCATGTGTTATGTTTTGGATTGTCTAATTGGTCTTGCCTAACTAGCAAAATTTCCTTGGTTGACAACCTTCAGCAAGTTGATGAATAGAATAGCTACTGTATGCTGGTCCATCAAAGTCATGCGGTGCAACCAACATGCTGAAAAAAACCTTAAAACAGGAAACGATCATATAAGAGAGGACCCTGCAGGCCCTCATATCACTTTTTATCAACATCTGTATGTCTCTTAAAATATCAGATAATTTAACCTTTTTATGAGAAGGCAAGTCTAGTTCAATTGTGAAATGTCTTGTGGTGCAACTCCTGAAAACAAGTCTATTTTTAATTTTTTTTAAAGTAATATACGTATAAATAATATATTTTTAAAAAAATTTAGAAACTTTTTACCTTGAAAAAAAATATTTAAATAAATAATGATTAGAAAAATAATGGTTATGGTGTGTTCAAGGTGTAAGGAAAATATGTTATTACTTAGTACATTTTTAGAGACATTACATTGAAACTTTTCTTAAAAATTGTTTAAAAGTTTAAAAACCATATGAAATCAAGCAGTTGAGGACTTGGCACATATTTTAAACTAGATTTGAAAAATATTTTTCCTTTTTTATTATCATAAACACTCTTATATCTCAATTACCCATAAATCACCAGGTGTTATCATTGTAAACTAAAACTATTAAAAGTAATTTTATTCACTTTATTTGAAATATAATAATAATATAACATTTGAAATAAAATAAAATATTTATTTATATTT